AATATGACATACAGTGGGGTCATGGTAGTTTGAAGTCAGAGGTCAACTGCCGGTTTATAGACTTTTTGCCGTGTTAGGGTTAGATCAACTGCCGGTTTATAGACTTTTTTGCCGTATGCGCATACACAATGACATACAGTGGGGTGATGGTAGTTTGAAGTGAGAAGTTGTGACATATAGTGGGGTGAGGGTAGTTTGAAGTCAGAAGTCCACTGCCGGTTTATAGACTTTTTGCCGTATGAGTATACTTTGTAACATACAGTGGGGTCATGGTAGTTTGAAGTCAGAAGTCAAGGCATACAGTGGGGTCATGGTAGTTTGAAGTCAGTGGTCAACTATACAGTGGGGTGATGGTAGTTTGAAGTGAGAAGTCAACTACCAGTCAATAGACTTTTTTCCGCATAAGTATACGTTGCCCAGGGTGCACCACATGGAGGTTGTAAGTACACGTTGCCCAGGGTGCACCACGTGGAGGTAGCCGTATGGAAGTGATAAGTCAACTGCCGGTTAATAGACTTTTTTGCCGTATGAGTGGGTTGCCCAGGGTGCACCGCGTGGAGGTAAGTCTATCGCAACAACTGCCGGTTAATAGACTTTTTTGCCGTATGAGTATACGGTGCCCAGGGTGCACCACGTGGAGGTAAGTCTAAATATACATTGCCCAGGGTGCACCACGGAGGTAAGTCTATTGCACACCCCATGATACCTATCATAACGCCTGCCATTTGAAAGTACGTTGTCCAGGGTGCACCACGTGGAGGTAAGTCTATCGTACACCCCTCGGTCATTAATTAAACCATTGGAAATGGGCAGAATTCAAGGGGAAGTGCCAATAAAAAGAGTATTTCATGACTTCGGACAAGACACAGGGAACTATTGTCCATTAGGTGCCTGCTATAGTCTGGGCATACTTGCGTAGCGAATTGATTGGCTAGCAAGGGGTAAAAATTGAAGCTACCACCAGATGGACATTACTGACGAGCGAAATTGTTTTGCAGCTTCACTGCCAAATTGGAATCAAAGAAATTTACCGTAAGGCTTGAAATAAATGTTTTTTTTATACCTCAAGATATTTTAAATGCTCATAAAAATTATGCACAAAGCGCTTATTTCTGAAAGCATACGTTTTTGGTTTCTCAGATGTCAGAAGCCTTCCGCTACACCTTCATGGTTATATGAAAGCAAATGAAGAAATTTTGGCAGTCGAAGTCGACTGAGCACTGCATAGCCTCCTTCAAAGACACACTTTGTTAGTTCTGGCGAGGCGGAAGTCCCATTAGTTCATGGAATTATTTTAATTGATCGCAAATCATTACATAGAAATTTAAAAAAATTTCAAATAGATTAAAGAAGGTGCTTTACAAAACTAATCACTTGTGTTCGAGGAATAGCAACCCAATGACTAAACAAAATCATGTATTGTAAAATTTTACTGAGTAGTGAATTTCTACTTACCATTTATTGTGCTTCAAAGTGAGAAAAACATACGACCTCTGGCTATTCACAATTATTATCTAAGATTATTGCTGTCTCCTCTAAAGTACAGAAGATTTGATCAGACCACTGATAGTCATTCCGTTCTCATTTATCACAAGTTTAATTCATAATCTTCGGGTTAATGTTTCCTGACCGTTTTACGCCTCACCAAATGCGTTTCGATTAGATTACGATTTGCAATGTTAATTAAGTTTGGTTTAACCGATATATTCAAAAGGCTAAACATTTAAAGTTTATCACCATAATAATTAACAGTAAAATTACATAAAAATTAGAATATTTATGTGCGAAGTAACTGCAGGTTTAAGAAATGACAGTTGAGACAGGATCAAAACTCAACGTATCGAGGCATCTAACATTATTAGTTATTGAAAATGGATTGTATCATATTCACCAAACGAGTATTTCAGAGTTCGAAAATCTATTCTAATATCGTCATTAGCGCCAAATAAAAGATTTCACTGGGCATCTATCAACTTGTCGTCGTTATCATGTGGTTGGAAGCATATTATCATAGGCCTTGTGCATTTCTAAGAAAGGGCAACAACATGTTACATGCTTTTGTCCTCAAAGCTGACTCAGACCTTGAAATATTAAAACGCAAATGACTACCATTTTTGCACTAATGCAATGTGGCTACTATAAGTAAAAAGTATTGATTATTATATCGAAGTTTATGGTGAATAGAAATAAGGCATTAATAAGCCTTTCTTTAATAAGTTCCGAATAAATGTAGCCTCTCAAGGGGATTCAGGCGTGTGCGTTTTAGACGCAGGTGCCTCTAGTGCTCAACTGAACCAGCCAAGTTCCGCAGTTATTTGTCCTTCACAGTACTTTAAATATTTAGAAAGCACTTCTTACGCGAAATGTGAACACTTATACAACAATATTTTTACCAATTTCTCCTCAAAAAAATAATCGTGCTAAGTGCTTTTGCTGTACAAAAATTAATAATCAAGCTAATGAATCTATTAATTTCTAATTGTATTGATATTTTGATTGATTTATTATGAATACTAAAGAAAACAGGGATGGGCTTAAATTTAAGCTAATACACGCTCAAAGGAAAAGTGATAAGATAGTTTTATCTAAATTTGTTTACTATATTTTAAATTATTCACAGCCTGATATGCAACTTCATTTAAATGCCCCCCCCCCCAAACGTAAAACAATTTTTATTAAATAATACCATTGTAGAGAGTCTAACTTAACTATTCATAACCTCTATTACAAAAAATGGCGATAACGTTGACTGATTTGCCAATTATTGGCTCCAGTGTTTAAAAAATAGAAGGGAACAAATAGAGAGAAGTAATTTAGCCTATTGAACTTATGGTCATTTACACTAGGGGTAATGGCCATAGCTACACCACATCTATAAACTACTACTGCCTTACAGGAAAGGATTTAATTAATTGAAGTATCTGTAAATGGTCCCTGGAATGGTATTAAAGCTAATCACAGATAATTGATCAAAAATCGTCAATTTGTGAATAATACACGTGCAAGATTATGCCGCATTTGAAACGTGGTCTTAACTTTCTCACCCAACAGCGAAATGGTCAAGCAAGGTAGATGAGCAGTCAGGTAGCTAGCCAATCAATCAACTTGCAGGTTGAGAAGGAGGAGGAAGAGGAGGCAATAACGAGCGCGTTTTCATTCACCCCCCCCCCTCCCACTCCCTTCCTAATTGTAGACTCTTGCAAGCGAAACTAAGTAGACAGCAGGCAATTGGCAGAATCCAACACTGATTGCCACTCCTCGACTTCCATACCTGATTTCCTCCCTATCCTAATTCCCCTTTCCCTTCTTATCATCACCCTCCCTCCTTCTTCCTATTGACCGCAATTTAGTGATTGGGAGAAGAAGGGGAGAGGGAAGATTACGGTAAAAACGGGAGTGAATCTGTGTGTGCGCGTATGTAGATATGCGACTTAAACTCACAGCATGAATAGCAAGCCTATAATTACTCCTTAGTTTAGCCAAGGCAAGTTTAAATACTCCAGTCCTTAAGAAAACTTTACCTAGAAACACACCCCCCCCCCCACTCCCCCCAAACAGGACTTCGCTATTCTTTCTCCATTCTTTTCTTTCTGCTTGCATCTATGTCTATTCTTTTGTGGTACTTTTTATAATAATTTCTTTGAGTGCAGATGTTCCTCAAATTTTCTTTCTCCCTTTGAGTCTGAGTATTGTGGCTAAATGTATAAACGTCAGGAAAAGAAGCATTTTTAAATGGATAAAGATAAATACATAAATGCGTAGAATGAGGCTTAAATTTGTGAATTATTTGGAATGTAATAATGTCAATTCATACCAAATCCTTTTAGTATTGCACTCTAGCTATTACTGCAATATCTTCACCATAAAAAGTTGTTTTAGGTAAAGTTAAATCACTAAGACAACAGCTGAAAGCTCGAGTGAGGCGATATCAGAAAATGCTTAGTCAGAATTTTGTTTTGGAAATTTTAATCATAGCTAACCGTGGGGACTGGGAACAGTTGGTAAAAAGTTCAAATTTCAGTATTTGAAACTGATTCAAGTTCTGGCGTTAACCAACTTGAATTAAAGGAGATTTACAATGACGACGGGATGCCATTGCAGAAAGAATAATAGTCTTTATTTTGTAACCAACTGATTACTAACTGATTCCCTCCCAGTCCTCATTAACAGAAATATTTTCCGCTCTCTTTTTCCCTTGATTTTCAGCGACAGTCAATTAAGTCATCATATTATTTCACCTTTTCATTGCTTTTGTATGGATTTTAATTAAATCACCCAATCAATACAAAGATCATTCGAATCAACTTGGTGCAAAATGTTTCAAACAGCTGATTCTGAAGAATCTAGAAAGTAGCTACCAAATATCTCCTATCTTTCCCTTAAAGATAATATGGCATTTTCTTAATTGAATGGCATTGTTTATTGTGAAAATGTGGCGAAATATTTAACTAGACGGAGTATGAATTTTCAGCATTGTTACAATACCTATAGTTAGTTAATTTTCATTCAAGTGCCCTATTATCGTTCAATATACGTTAGCTGCTGTTAGTTATTGATTTATCGATTTTCCCTCTACCCTTTTCGCCTATTCCATGAAGTATTTAACTCCCCCTATCTTTTCACTGTTTATCGATTTTCCTCATCATATTACTTGTGCTACTTCAGCCCTACTGTGCCCTAATGAAGTTGTATCTAACTGTAATTAAAGAGGTCATCCCCTTCCATCTGATAACTTCTACTCAATGGAGTGCTATGTTATCCACTGGCAGCCTAACTTCAAAGATCAGGTAAGAGTATGAAGACTGTTTTTAATACTTATATTGATCGACTGAAATCTAGTCATATTTCAGTCCAATATTCTAGAAAAATAAAGCTTTGCACTAGATTTAGATAAGAGGATAGCGAAGTACGTGTAGATAGCACATTAAAAGAAGTGATAATAATAATCCCCATAAATGTATCCTAATAGTTTTCCGGGTATATACTTCATATTTGATATTTTAAGACGAATCGCCACTTGTTGCTGTTGTTGCCGCCCGACGAAATCTGTCAGCAAACAATCGTTTACTATCTAGAAAACAAATAAGTCATACATTTTTATTCTATCGAAAGCCATTTAGACATAGAGAATATAAAGCTATAATCGTTTGAAGAAATAAGCAAATTTATCAACTTAATTCATAATTTTGAAAGCTTTAGCCATTATCAAAGCCTCAACGTTTGCCCTATCAAAATTCAATCATCATTAGTATTTGAACTGAGAGAAGAAACATATTGCCAATCGAAACTCTCCCCTAATCAATATAGTTATGAGTTATTACTAACGTTCCTGAGTGGTCAATATACTCCTTTGTCATTTCAGTGATCACAAGATCAATACTCATTCGTTGATGTGAATATGGCTGGTGGAAACCGAGTTCCTAATAAGGATGCTTCCAAAATGTTAAAAATAAAAATCAAGTGAAATGCTAAATGTAAATATGAAGAAAATTTTGGTTCCTAAATAAGTTCCAAAATTTTATTGAATACTCTTATAAAATTCCACTTTAATGAATTTTTTCTTCCTATTTTCACGATTGTAATGCTTTAATATCTTAAATTACTTATTTCTAAGGTGGCAATTTAAAACCAATTATAAACCGATAAATTACACCGAATAATTGAACTTTAAATAAATTTTAACCCCACAGACTAGTAGAGGAAATGAAATACTGAATACATTTTGTAGTTGATAAAAAGGTCTGATTGGAAATTCTATCTAATGCGAAAAAACAGGACACATACTTGATTTAGGAGTTGGCATTACCCCGTTTCGTTGATGAGTCGTATCTTTTTCATTGCATTGAGAATTTGCGTCAAATGTAACCGTCGAAGCTCTCAAAACCATAGGTGAAGAAGCACGCTTTACAGAAGACCCACGGTGAAACAATGTGGATCCAATTCCATTAAGTTTATTAGTAGTCTGAACTTGAATGGTTTGTCGATCAGCAGAAGGGGTTTTCCCTTCACTGTAGGCACCAAATCTAGGTTTTTCATTTAAATCTCTACTGGAATGTGAGTTAAGACCTCTTGAAGACTTCTCGACACTAGAGAAAAAGTTTCCCTTTTAAAAGGGATGTACTTAACTATTTTACAAAAAAAAACAGATCAATACCCATTTGCAATCGGTTTGAGTGAAGGTTGTTCTTGGGGATACTCCGTGGAGAAGGATTTGGTGTTATCATGACGTTGGCAACTCCCTAATGCATTAGGTTTCTGCTTGCATAGTAGGACAAATTCACCAACATCGCAGTTTCTATTTGTTCGTTTGTCTATTATGACTGCATTTTAAGAAAGATACGGATTCTTTTCAACAGTGCAATCGAAATTAAAGGGACATCGACTTAAAGACAAACTTGACCCACCTTTTAGAGTATCTTCAAGGACTCTTGCAGTAAGATCATTGGTCACAGAGGTGCTAGGAGCCATGCAGGGACTAGCGTTGATCTCAATCAACCATGGCCGCAAATCGTCCCCACTAATCATAAAGTCAGCACCGTAAAGCTCAAAGCAACTCTGTAAATTAAAAGAACAAAGTATTAGGCGAATCCAAAGGGAGTCGTAATAGTAAATTAACATTGAAATGGCCAATTGTAAGCTCCACCAAGGAGCGCCTAGAATATGTCGTCTCTCTGCCTTATGAAGAGTTTACAGAGATTGTCATCACAAGGGTATGTATGGGGCTGAATATCATTTCATGACCCCAAGGGGTTACTAGAAGATAAAACTCTCAAACCCGTGAGGTTCAGAACGATTGGACTCAAAAATGAAAATAATAAAAAAGAACCTTTTATGAATTGTATCAGAAGTAATCTGCTGTGCTTATTCTCATAACAAAATGTAATCCATAAGCGAATAAACATTCTCTACGGAATTAAGCAACTCGATTTTCACAAATATAGATGAAAACTAAATGACATTTAATGTTTATTGACCTAAGCCATTAATATTATCAGCCAAAATTTTTATTTCTTAGTGCAAATCTTCGGTCATAAATTCGACTATTGATGAGAATTGAAGCTAATAGCCAAGGAGTGAAATCACCAACCAAAGAGCCAATGGAATCAGTTAAAATTCGAATTCTTAAGAAATTTTCACATTATACTTCTTCCTACTAGATTAAAAAACGGGTATTTATTTGTTAAGATAGCAAATAAAATAATATTACTTTGAGGGGTGGATGAGTGGGATGGTGCTTATTAATTCGCCACCTCAACTAAGAAGAATATGAACCATAGTGTTTGCGAAGATCATTCAAAAAGGCTTGCAGTGGATTCACTGTCCATATTGGGAATGCTATTGTGAAGTGTGACATTTCAACACCAGCCAATTTATAACACCTAAAGCGACTGGTAGTTTGGCAGTGAAAGTCATTATTAGTCAAATTTTCAGGGGAAGTAAAGATGCAGAAATAGGCAAAAGTATTTGTTTTATTTCTGATAGTATCTGTGACGGCTTCACACCTCAGCGTCCTTTAATGAAAGCTTCATTTAGTTCTGTGCCTCAATCTGATAAAATTGTAATTTAAAACAAATGCTTGGTGCTCTATTTAAATGAATGAACTCATTATGTTCAAATAAAATAGTTTAACTGCCAACTGAAAGGAAGAGTATTAACTGAGAGGTAGATTTAGAGAAATCTTGGTGAGAAAAAAAGGTCAGTATTTCCTCAGACAAAGCAAAAAAGTTTGGCACGTCTAACTCCAAACGTGTCCTTTGCTTCACTTAACTAGCAGAAGTCGAGTGAGTGAGGCAGAGGGAGTGGAGTGGAGGGGGGGGGGGGGGGGAGAGCGAGAGAGACATAATTCGATTTTTTGACTTTCGAGTTCAAAGTGCAGCACTCAGCAAACATACAACTGTTTGCTTGAGTAGTCTCACCTCACCTCACATCATCCCCACTCACCAACTCAAAGTAAAAGCCCCCAAAAGTGAATGAAAGGGAGACGACAGAAAGAGAGACCAATTATCTTCCCTGCTCATCTGCCTTTGAGCAGCATAGCAAGGAAAAGGTGGATGGACAGGTGGACGGATGGGTGGACGGGGATGCACGAATTCCCCCTTTCCCAGGAAAAAAAGGAAACAACACTCACCCTTCGAACATCAATCGCGACCTGAGAGCACTGCATTGAGTTGATAATTGCCTTCTGCATGTCCGGTAATATGCGTCTCTCCCATATCTCCTTATGACCTAGACTCCTGCAAGAAAACAAATTTCAGAAAATACGCATCAAATTGGAAGTGGTTATGATTTTTCTAAAAAAAAGATAATAACCAGGTGTAAGTGTAAATTAGCGCACTTGGAGACCCACAATTCTGAACCTGCGACAAATGAAGAATCATTCACATACCGAGTCAAAAGAATTGTGCATTATTATTATTTTCGGTTGATCTATTAGAAATTTTCTCTTTCTTAAATATTAATCACAAAATATCCATGACCATTCTTTTGAGTAAAGGGTAAAGAAACGGAGAACTCTGTCTCTTCCCTATGAAATGAATCAATGAGTATTATTTTTATACAATCTAGGATCAGCATGCATTTAGGTAGGAAATCTGAGGGAGGGGTACTTGAGAATTCTCGCACACTTGCATTTATTCCTTTGTATTTACTGAACCTAACAAAAGGCATGTTCTTTTTTATCTTGGTTAAAGAAGACCTATAATATATATAGCCAAATTATTGTAAATTATAACTTTTGTGCACTCTTCTTTCTATTTCTATGTTCAGTGTGAGACAAAAACGGCAGAAAAGCCGTTAATCCGGACATTTCATTAATTAGGCATAGGGTTAAATTCCTTCTCATATAATTGGTATAGATGGGGGAGGGGACTGAAAACACGGTCGTACTGATGACAGGTTATGCACTGAATATCCTTCTGGTTGTCAGGGGCGGCGTGCCCCGAAAAGTGATAGAGATGATAAGCGTCAGAAAAACACTCCAGCCATTTCTCTTGACGTATTTGCCAACAACGCCAAGTTCCAACAACGAATAGAGTCACCCACAATTGTGAAGGCTATCTTTACTGAGAAACTACATACTATTTTATATTCGAATTTTGGGGTGTGCGATAGACTTACCTCTACGTAGTGCACCCTGGGCAACGTATACTCATACGGCAAAAAAGTCTATTAACTGGCAGTTGACATCTGACTTCAAACTACCCTCACCCCATTGTATGTCATATTCGACTACTTTCACAGTACTCACCTCACCTTTTTCCACATTTGTGTCTGTCTCTTTTACATCTTTGAAACTCTCTTCTGTTCCCCTCTCCCTCTCGACTTGTTTCACTTTGATGTTCCTCCTCCTCTGTGAAGCCTGAAGTCAACTAAAGGGCTAATGATAACTTTCACAACGCCTGCCATTTGATATAAATAAATAAATATTCGAATTTTTAAAATATTGGTTGAGTT